CCCCAAAACCCCAAAACCCCAAAACCCCATGAATTTATATATAGTGAAATATATAAATTAATGAAATTAATGAGATTGTGTTATTTAGATTAAATTTTATGCAATTTCAGAATTTAAAATCAGATTCCATATGACTGGAAACAGAAGCAAAATGATACTCAAATAAATTGAGGAACAATGCTGATAGCAAGATAATTATCAAAACTTTGGAATTGAGCTGAGTTGACTTGCACAACACCGAAGAATGATGATGGAAGGGTGAAAGCTTTCTCAAGGAGCAGGTTGTTGATAAATGGAATTACAATTCTGCTGCTTACATTCAAGAAGTCCTTGAAGTCTTGAGCATTGAAATCTCCAATCTTAGAATCAGTAGCTGTAGCATGATCTATCTTGATGGACAAAAGTTGAGCGGTAAGGTTAGCACCTGTAAGTTTAAGATCGACTCTTGAAATGAAATCATAGAGTGTAACTACAATTGCAACTTCGTTCTTCACTATAAAAGTCAGATCTAAGTCAATGATAACTCCAAGAGCATCCTTTTGGAATAATGATCTAGGAGCAGTCTTAGCAATAAGGGCAATTTGAACTGGAATGTTATCTCCATATTTCTAAACAAGGCCTGGAAGAAGTCCATCTAGATAAGTAGTGGTGAGTTCCTCAGCTATTGATGGGAAACTAACTCCATCAACAGTGTATTATAGGAGATTTTCTTCATGAATCGCCATCAAGAAGGAGTCAGCTGTGTAGTGAGAAAGAGACATTTGAACTGAATTGGCAACTGAAGGTAGGACCTGGATATCCTCTGCTTGTTCACCTGGAATCTTGTATCCACTGGTTGAATTGTAGATAGTAGCATTCAAGAATAGAGCCATGTTGTTATCAGTGATGATTGGATCAGTGACAAATGTGAAGTCAAGAGCAAGTTCCTTGTAGAATGAAGCAATACCATTAGTATCAGCAACAATACCATTGATCTTATCCTTGATAATGGGTGGAATGTCATCATTGATGATTCCATTGATCTTTCCCAAGATGAGGCTCTTGAAGAGTGAAACGAAGGCATCAGCGATGTCGGCAATGATGCTTCCGCTCAAGTCAATGTGAATCTTTGAGCTGTCAATGTTCAAGTTGAAGTTGTTGATTCCTACAGCTGGAATTTTCTTTCCATTGATGGTTTGACTGAGAAGAGGAACCAACATGTTAATAGTGGCACCACCATCATCAATTCTAACCTTGAAGTTTCCGCTGGTTGAGAGGAATAAAAACTTGAATTTATAGCTTCCACTCATCTCTCCAGAAATGTCTTGAGCGTGGCAGCTGATTGAGTTGCTGGCACCAACGAATCCAACATTAATTGAGTTAAGATCTTGGATGGCAAGATTGATCTTGATATTGTCAACTTATCCTTCTGAGAATTCAATTTTTCCAACATCATAGTTATTAATAATGTTTAGGACAGTAGGCATGGCCCAGTTCTTGACTTAGTTGACCACTCCAATGTCAACTGCAGCTGCTGTGCCTGCTAGGTTAGCATTAGCAATAGTACTAAAGGCACAAAGGGCCAGGATTAGAACAAGATTCTAAGTCATAATTCTTATTAAATATTTTTATAAATTAGAGTAGATATCAAATATGTATAAAGCTAATATATTTAATTATTATAAGAATTCTTAAATCCTATTAATCGAAGAATTGTGGGGTTTTGGGGTTTTGGGGTTTTGGGG